AGCCCCCAGCCCCCTGCTTCCTTCCTCTAGGGATGTGACTACTCTGGCCCCTCGTGGAGGTGGAATCACACAGTTATTTGTCTTTTTGTAACTGGATTATTTTACTTAACACAATGTCCTCAAAGCTCATCCATACTGTAGCATGTGTCAGGATTTCCTCCCTTTTTAAGGCAGGATAATATTCCACTGCGTGAGGAGACCACAGTTATCTAGCCAGGCACGCACCTGTGCACACTGGGGTCACTTCCACCTTTCCGCTACTGTGAGCAGTGAACGTTCGCTGCTGTGAACGGGGGTGTGCGAGTTCTCTTCAAGGCCCTGCTTTCAATTCTATTGGGCATATACCCAAATTGTTGGATCATAGGGTAGTTCTGTTTTTAATTTTTTTTTGAAGAACTGCTCTACTGTTTTCCATAGGGGCTGCATCATTTTACACTCCCACCAGCAGAGCACAAGGGTTCCAATTTCTCACCGGGGAAAAAAAGACATTTTTAAGAAGCATCATGCACATTTAACAAAAAAACTTTGTCATTTTATTGAGTTATGCAAAACATCTTTAAACAATAGTCAAAGAATAAGAAACTATTACAAAAGTTCAAATGTCACAATGATAGCATATAAGCAGCCCACAGAATTAAGTTTCACTATGTGCGTTCAATTATTTGCTGTTATGAAAAGAGTATAATGCCCTTCCTGCTGGGAAACTGCTTCCACATGTTCGCCTCATGCAGGGCTTCTGGACTTGGGATATTTTTAACAATAGATCAGCATTTTAAGAATTTGAGTTAACCAGATGGGAGACATTCTTTCATGATGTAGATGTATATCAAATCACCATGATGTATGCTTTAATATCTTATAATTTTATTTGTCAATTATACTTCAATTAAGCTGGAAAAAAAAAGATTTTGAATTTAGGACCTATCATTGATTTTAAAATATGGGGAGAAAAATTCGCAGCAAAACCAAGGGCTGAGCTAAGAAGGAAGATCTAACTCATTAGAAAGATAGGTCCCTGCGGATTTTAAGGACCAGACAAGCTTCACGTGCTGTTTGGAGGCGGGAAGGGTCTCCTCAGGGGTCGAGTGGGACTCGCTGTTTGCAGGGTGTTATAAAAAGAACAAATTCTTTCCAAGGACATATTTCCATTATCACGTTTGTTTCTTTTCTGCCAATTATTTTGAAAACATAAAAAAAATAGTTTTAGCAAAAGAAAAGGGTGAGAGCCAATACGCTGATAAAGAACAATGGGAAGTGAGTGGGGGGATCTCCTACCTGGCAAGGATGTAATTAGGAAGAATATGAAACCCTAACGGTATACTTTGCTCAGGGAACAAGGGAGAAGAGGTCAAGTGTTATTTTCTAGTCAGTTTCAGAGTTTTTCATTTTCTGCTCAGTTTTTATCTTGGTATAATATTAAGACCTTTTGTGTTGAATTTAGAACTAATTAAAAGCATTATAATGACTTTAAATTTTATGGAAAATTCATCTGTAGAAAAAGGATATAAAATTAATATTTTATGTTTAAAAAACCATAATATTAGAAATGTCACGGGGTGACACAATTCAACATAAAATTTCCCAGCTTTGACTGTTGGCCGAAGCACTCAATATCCTGAACTACAGAAACAAGTATTATCCAAAAATCACTGCTCATTCATTGTGGCCAATATCTAGTGAATGAATTCATGGGTTTGAGGTTTTATGCCCTAGTTCAAGATGTGGGCCTTTTATAAAATACCTGTAATGTTTTTTTAAAAGATCAAGTCAAAAATAGGCAAACAATTCTAGGCACTCCATCAAGCTTTGGAAAAGTGTGACCATCCAGTGTCACGAACTTCATTGTTTCAAAGAAGATGCTAAACCTTTCTAACTTGGGGGAGAATGACATGCTGTGAGGACACCCGGGCGCCTCACTCATTCAGCAAGTTGAGGACCATCTCACAGGTCAGGTCTCCATCCAGGTCCCCGCTTCCGGCTGCGGTTTCCCCGAAGTTCACAGGAACCATCTCTTCGGGGTACTGCTCTCCGGTCACCAGGGAGACCTCCTCGACAGCGGCTTCTTGGGGGGAAAAGGCACAGGGTTGGCAAATTTACAATAAAGCCAAGAAACCAATACCGATGTATTTTGGAAACAATCACTTGGTTTTTAACCTATAGCAGCAAACATTTTAGAAACAGCCTTCCCATGGATGGAACAGGGTGAATGAATAAATGTTCTGACTCAACCTCCTTTCTGCCAGGGTCTCACCACCTCAGCTCTACGACGTTCTCTGTTGTGGGCTTTAAAAAAATACACTGCATTTAGGTGTCAAGAGGGGCCTTAGGTGCCTGATTAGCGGGGAAGTCATACATTTCTAAGGCGTTTTCAGAGCTCGGGGTCCAGGTGACCTGGTCTTGGGCTCGGAGTTGGATTTCACCTGGTTTGTCGTCTCCAATAAATGACTGTACCTGCAGTGGGTTGAACTGTTGCCCCCAAGAAAGATGTGTCTGCATCCAAACGCCCCTACCCTGTGAGTGTGACCTATTTGAAATAAGGGTCTTTGAAGATGTAATAAGGATCTCGAGATGAGCTCGCCAGAACTTTCAAGGCAGACCCTAAATCCAAGGAAAGTGTCTTTATAAGAGACAGAAAAAGTAAAGACAGACACAAATGAGAGGCCATGTGAAGATGGAGGCAGAGATTGGGGTGACGTGGAGCCACCAGAAACTGGAAGAGGCAGAGGGCTCCTCCCCTGGAGTCTCCAGAGGGAGCAGGGCCCTGCTGATGCCTGGATTCAGGACGTCTGGCTGCAGACTGTGAGAGAATAAACTTGCTGTCCTAGGCCCCCCAGTTTGTGGTCGTTGGTTGCAGTATCTCCGGGGTCCGAACGCAGTGCCCAGCAACCCACCAGCTCGGCTGAGGGGAGCTGCAGGGACAGGAGAGCAGTGGGCATGTGCATTTGTCATTGGGACCCACTAAAATGACCCCAGGAACCCATGTGGTGGGGGGCTGTGGACACCCGGGGACTCCCAGTCACTTTCTACTCCGCCTCTCCGCAGTCCTGAGGGAGGCAGACAACCAGACCTGCCTCGCCCATAACCACGGGCCAAGTGACACGGGCCAAGTGACACGGGCCAAGTGAAGCCCAGGCCCTGCCCAGAGTGGCTGCAGCCGCTCCAGAGCCGCCCGGGCCGGGCGCCCTGCAGGATCTGCACTCGCTTTCTGGGTTGTTCCCCGCACAGAATGCCCAGCACCCAGGGAAATTTATGAGAAAATCACGGTCAAATTCAAACCGAATTTGTTTAAAAGGAGGTACCGTCTTTCTTCGCCGCCTCCCTCGGGATGGCCGACTTCCCCATCGTCGCGCTTCCTGTCCCTGCGGTCGCCGATTTTCCCTCTCCTGCCTCACACTTCTCTGAGTGTCTTCGCATGTTAGTCTGTCGGAGAAATGACACAGAACACACGATGAGCACACCAAGGACCGTCATGTAAAGGCACACGGTCAACGGCATGCGCTGTGGAAAATGGGTGACAGGTACCGCTTATAATCTTGTACAGAAAAGATGACTTTTTGAAGGTGACCCATTCTGTTGTGCTTGGGTCTAGCCTGAAGCTGGCTTATTTAGGTATTTCTTTATAATAGAAGTCAACGAGGAGACAAAATTTACTTTTCTGGACTGCTTCTACTCTCCAAGGTGAGGCTTGACATTAAACCAGAAATGCAACGTGTCGGTGGACTTGATGAAACTCAGTAAAAGACCACGGGAGCCTCACTGCCGGGAGCTTCTCTCCTGAGCTGCTGCGAATTATGAAAACTGCACCGCACTCGGATTACAGTGGGAAGCCACAGATGCTCTGGTCAAGCCTTTCAGCAGTAAATGCTTCTATGTGAACACTCAGGACGATTTGAAATAAGTCAGAAAGTTTTCTCTATTTCAAAGGTCCATATGCTAACGTAAGATACTGGTCACGTCATTAAATTTGCTGACTATATAAAACATCTCACTGAATTTCCATTTTGACTTCAGTTTGGGGCTTTGCAGGCTTATGGGTGGAGGAAGGAGGGTTCGCATGCAAGTAACGGGAATGCTGATGCTGTGCACGGAGTCAGCAGGCTGCGGCCGAGGGTGAAGCCAGCCTCCCGGCGGCGTTTGCAAGGCTAGTGTCCTGGGCCAAGCCCCGTTCCTCCGTTTATGACGGACTGTCCACCTACAGCTGCGTTTGTGCAAAAACCTCCGACCCCAGCAATCGGGGCAGGAATAGCCTGTCTGGTCTGAGGAGTTAAAAATATTCACTGTTTGGCCCTTTATAGGAAGAGTCTGCCACCCCTGGTTTGTATGATGATTATGGGGAAATGAAGCCTCTTGGGGTGAGGATTCCTTTGAGGATATACGAGCAACGGGTCCTTCCCCAGAAAAGTGCAAATTATTTTTACATATCCACGCTCTCCCTATACCTTCATCAAGTTCATGGTTAAGAACATCTGATGTCAGTTTTGAACGAACAAATAAATCAAACAAAAACACACCCAGCCTTTAGAAAGCAGGCCCACTGAGGCTGTTAGGGCTCAGCGGCGCACGTGACGTGACGAACCGCTGTGTCAGAGAAATGCTGCTCTGGAGAGGAGGACCCAGTCTTCCGATCCAGAGCAGGGTCCTCACGGGGAGGAGGGGGCTTGGCCTGCGACATTCTGGTACGGAGGGGCACTGGGACCACTGTGTGGAAGTTTGCCCTGGCCAGCGTGGCTCCTTTGGAGCACTGCCCCATACTCCCGGCCAGGGCACGTACCCAGGTTGTGGGTTCGGTCCCAAGTCGGGAGGTGTGTGGGATTTCGCGTATACCTCCTGCCCCACATCTGCACACCCTGCCCCACCTGATGGTACATCTGTTATAACTGGCGAGTCTGGCCAGCTGTGCAATGACGTGCCCATGATCACATATCGTCCAGAGTAGTTTCACTGCCCTAAGAATCCTCTGCGCTTCTCCCATGCATCCTTCCCTCCGCAACCTGACCACCAGTGGTCTTTTACTATCCCCACAGTTTTGTCTTTCCCAGAATGTCATCAAGTTGGAATCATATAGTATGTAGCTTTTCAGATTGGCTTCTTTCACTTAGTCATATTCATTTAAGGTTCCCCCAAGTCTCTTCATGGCTTGATAGCTCATTTCTTTTTAGTGCTGAATAATATCCCATTGTCTGGATGGACCACAGTTTGTGTGTCCATTCACCTACTAAAGGACATCTTGGTGGCTGGTGGCTCCCAAGTTTTGGCTCCATTGTGTTGCCTTTGCTCCTCTGTCGAAGATCACGTGGCTGTATTTCTGGGGTCTATTTCTAGGCTCTCTATTCTGTCCTATTGGTCTGCTCGCTTTTTGACTACTATAAATAATGCCACTATGAATATCTGTGTACAAGATTCTGCGTGGTCACATTTTCAATTCTTTTGGGTATAAGAATTTTGGGGTTCATGGGGATGTAAAGTACAGCATGAGGAATATAGTCAATAATATTGTAAATAACTATGTATGGTGCCAGGTGGGTACTGGAAATATCAGAGGGAGCACTTTGTATGGTATATGGTTGTCTAACCGTCTACCTGAAACTAATACAAAATAATAATGAATGTAAACTGTAATTGAAAAAGACCCCATTTTCTTAATTAAAAAAAAAGAGGGAACCCTGGGAGTCTACAAGGGGGCTGATTCTCTAACGCCAAAGCCCAACAATTAGTCATAATTGACATAATAGAAATGTGACGGACATACTGTTAATGTAGCAGATAGGTTTTTTGTTTTATTTTAAGTTTCTTTGCCCAGAAATGTCTTTTAAGTCTTTGGCACTTGAAAGAAAAAAAAGAATTGCTGGGTCATATGGTAACTTTATGTTTAACTTTTTGAGAAACTGCCAGACTGTCTTCTAAGGTGGCTGCTCCATTTTAAATCCCACCAACAGTGCCTGAGAGCTCCAATTTTTCCACCTCTTTCATTGTCTGTCTTCTTTAATTGTAGCTCTCACAGTGGCTGGTTGCAGGCGTACCTTTATCGTGATGTTGATTTGCGTTTACCTAGTAACCAATGATGCCAAGCATCTCTCATGAGCTTATTAGCCATTAGACTATCTTCCTTGGAGAAGCATCTGTTTAGATCATTTTTCCTGTTTTTAATTGGGTATTTGTCTTTTTATTGAATTATAAGAGTTCTTTATTTATTCTAGATGTAAATCCAAATATGCCTTCTTGAATAAAAGACAAAGTTTCAAAACTTCTGATTCTAGGCTCTGAGGGACTCTGAGGCCAACTCATTCCGTTCTCCGCTTTCTGTTTCTCTCGCCAGGGGCCACTCTGTACACTTTTAACTCAGTATGAAGCTAGTCTTCGGAGCGTTGCTACCCCTTTTATTTGCCATTTTGAACTAATATCATTAACACTCCAGAATTACCCCACTGTACTACCCCCTGAAAAAACACAACTACCCTACCTTTTAAAAGAAAAAAATAAAGTTTTCCCCTATAGAAACAGTCAACTTCAGATAGCTCAAAACTTTTGTAAAGTTAGACTGGAGCATACATCATCTAAGGACCCTGTGCCGAGGAACTGAGTCCTCCTGCCCCCTTCTACTGAGGGAGCCATCTTGGGAGCGGCTCCCCCAGCCCCGGTCCAGCCTTCAGATGGCACAGCCCCGGCCAACATCCTGATGCAGCCTCATGAAGGACCCCGAGCCAGAGCCACCCAGCCAAGTGTGAGCCACAGAAACTGAGATAATAAATGTTCAGGGTTTTAAAAGGCTCTCAGTTTTGAGGTAATTAGTCATGTAGCAATAGAAAACTGATACAACATCGAGAAGGAATAAGGAGGAAGGGTAAGTGGCTTTCTTAGCACAGTACCAACAACACTGTACTAAGAACACGTATGAAACATTTTGAAAATTGCACTCTCTCTGCAGAGTAGCCTAAATCAAATTCACAGGAACAATTTTTAAATGTTACACTAAAACCAGGGATTCTTTGTGGATCTTGGGGAGTCTGAGAACTCCCTAAAACTGTTTGCAAGGTTTTATTTGTAAGACTGTCTTTTTTTCACAGAAGGGGAGACCACACATTTATAAGATTTTCAAGAGTTTTGTGACTAATAACCACTTTCCCAGGGCATGGCAGATGCTATCTTAAGTCCTGGCAAGTTTCTATAATGGTGTTTAAACTCCCGAGTGACACTGTGCCTGGGAGGTAGAGGGATCTTTTCAAGGAGATTTATGGCAACTCAGGTGACTTACCCAGCGGGAAAAGCCTTTGCCGCAGCTGGAGCACTCGTAAACAGCTGGGGTGAAGTCAGCATCGTGGTATTTCTTGACATGAACGGTTAGAAGGTCCTTCTGTCGGAAGCACTGGTTGCAGGAGAGGCAGGCAAATGGTTTCTCTCCAGTGTGGGTTCGGGTGTGAACAGTCATGTGGCGCTCCTGGGAGGGAAGGGGAAAATCCAACCCCTCAGCTCCTTACAGGGGTTTTTAGTATCGGACAGTGTTTATCGTATACCTTTATTTTTCCTCCCCAAAGATGAGTGTGCTATTAAGAAAAATCACAGCAAAGACATTCTGAACACAGCACTGTTATGGTGGCAGGATGGTCTGGCCATCGATGAAACAGTCACACCGGGTACTGCCACCAGGTACAAAGCTCTCCCAGTTAGCTCCCAGTTGGTCCTACAGGCCCACAGGGGATGTCCAGGAACACACCTGGGGAGGGGGTGAAATGATAATCATTTTCCCCCCAAAAGAGCTCATGCATTTGCAGCCCTGCCTCTATCATTATTTACGAAAGGCAGACAGACCTGCAAACTCAAGAATCGGATGCTGGGGTTTCAGTTAAGCAGACATCTGGGGCTGGAAGGACAGAAAGCATACATTTTCCCTTCTACTCCCTGACAGAAAGATAACAGATTTTCATATCGAGTTAAAAGTATCATGGGAAAAAGATTGTTCTCAGCAAAGAAGTAATCAGAAATTTTAACTAAGATTTATATGAGTAAATAACTTGGGGAATCAGGACAAAAAATATATAAAGTCAAGCAAAAATACACATTTGTTTTATTTAAAATGCTATGATTATTCAGATAAAGTGCACGAGCACTTGCGCGTTACTGTTAATAACCTGACAGTCTGTCTGCCAGTCCTCTCCCAGTGCCCCTTCCCCACGGTCCTCGCCTCTCATCCCTCCCTCCAGGAGAGCATCTATCTCCTGGTCTCCCTGCTGGGAGTCAAGGTCCAAGCCAAGAGCCCAGGTCTCCAGGGCCAAAGCATTCAGAGTGCCCAGCAGTGTCCCAGCCTCAAGGTCCTGTCTGCTCTTTGCTCACCAAACACCTGGGGCTTGACCCTCCCTGGGACCCTCTCCCCTCCAAGTCTCGTCCATCTTCCAAGAAATTCTCGCAGTTCATTTGAAAAAATTTGAGCCTGGACGCAGAATATTCCAATGCTCAGTCTACTAGACAAACTCTCTTTTCTTTATTCAAAGCATTTACTATTTATAGCCCACACTTTGAAACACAGTAAGTACTGACTTCCACCTTTGGTAACTGGGCAAAATATCTGAGTGGCATGTACTTCTAAAAAAAAAAAAAAAAAAAAATCCTCACCCCAAAATATGTTTTTCATTGATTTTTAGAGAGAGAAGAAAGGAGAGGGAGAGAAACATGGATATGAGAGAGAAACATCGATTGGTTGCCTCTTGCACGTACCTCAACTGGGGACTGACCCCAAAACCTGGGTATGTGCCCTGACCAGGAATTGAATCCACGACCTTTCGGTGCGGGGGGTGATGCTCCACCAACTGAGCCACCCAGCCAGGGTTGTTCTGACACTTTTGGTCTTAGGACCCCTTTCACTCTTAAAAATTATTAATACTCCGAAGATTATATTAGAAATTAAAACTAAGAAATTAACATATAAAAGTAGTTATCAATTCTTTAAAAAAATAACAATAAACCAATTACATGTTAACATATTTCTATACACACATATTATCTATTTTTCAAAACAAAAAATTAGTATCCGGCTTAATAGATAAGGTTGCCAGTTAAAATACAGGCTGCACCATTTGGGACATGCTTATATACAAAAGTATTTGTTGTTTATATGAAATTCAAATTTAACTGGCCATCCCGTATTTTTATTTCTAAGTCTGGCCACCTTATTAAACGAAGACAGCCCGATTCTCATCTCTGCTTCTGCCTTCAGTTGGCTGAGGTGTGTTGTTGTGGTTGAGACAGATGAGGCAAATCTACTCTCACGGGTACGTTGTTGGAAAAGGGAGCAGAATTTTGGTAATTTTTCAAATAATTGTAGACATTCTTTTCTGATATTACACTGAAACTCAGTAAGTGCTAATTTCTTAACAATTGGCTAAAATGTGGAATCTGAAACCACACCAGTGATTTTTTTGTACTCTATCACATTAAAATCTGCTGATCTATCTTATACTTTGAATGAATTTGTTACCTCACGTCTGATTTTGTAAAACAATGGATTGGTCGTTTGGAAAATACCAGTCTGAGTTATGGAGAGCTTCTGAATGCTGATGCGTTTCACTATTCCACATAAAAAACTGCTTTTCTTAAAGTGACTCCATCTTTGGATATAAATTTTCCAAAATTCTAATTCTAATTTCCTCTTAAAAGCTAGCCTCACATATTTCTCCGAAGTGGCGTGCTCATTCCATTTACCTTTGGTAGTGCCAAACATCCAGTAACTGAATAAGCAGAGTTTGCCACTTGTCCTTTCAAGTTAAAATAGCAGTTCATGAAAAAGTGGCTAGTTGAGCTGGAAACTCCGGCAGGCCCACGGTGTCCTCTAGACACTGTTCTGCCTCAGAAGAGAGCGGCGCTTCTTACCAACCTCCCAGCTCATCACACAGAACATGAAAACGGTGAGTAGTCAGGGTGAAGACTGAATAAAGTTAATACTACTTCCCCAGGGACATTATTAAGTAAAAGTACCCTTTATTTTTGCTGCCGATGCAGGAAGGTGAAGAACACAGCGGTGACGAGGACTGACTGCTTTGCTTTGTATTAAGGCACCTCCACGGCTTTTGCACAACACGGCTTTTTTCCAACACAGCAAAGGGCGAATAAAGTGTTGGCATAAATTCATTAATTTAAAATTATGTTTAGGATATGTTTCTATTGATTTTTAGAGGGAGAGGAAGAGAGAGAGAGATATATTGGTTGCCTCCCTAATGCCCCTTGACAGGGGATTGAACCTGAAATCTAGACACGTGCCTTGGAATCGAACCCTCAACCTTTTTGGTGTACAGGGTGACACTCCAACCAGCTGAACTACCGGGCCAGAACAATTAACGACAAAAATTTGATCTTATGGCCCTGATTAGTTTCAAGGACCTCTAGGGGTCCATGAACCACACTTTAAGAACTGTTACTTTAATTCCTTGGCTCACGGCTCCCTTCTGGTTACTTTTAAGTTTTTTTTTTTAAAAACATGACTTTTTTCAATATTTTCGAAGTGATAGAAAACCCCACCCCAGCCCTTAATTCTTCCATATTCCAGGGCGGCCCACCACCTCCCCGAATGGACAGAAGGCCGGTACCTGCTGGCAGGTGTAGCTGCAATACTCGCACTTGAACTTCTTCTCATTTTTGTGAGTTTTCTGGTGCTGAAGGAGGCCGTAGCGGTCGTGGAAGATAGCGGAGCAGTAGCGGCACTCCATCTCTGTGGCTTTGTAAGTGTGCAGGTTGCGCAAATGGACGCCTGAAACCATGACAGAACATCGTACATGGGAGGGTGCTATTTCCTGGGGGGCTGATCTGCCCCTGCCCTCTAAGCCAGGGTCTCTCTCTGCACCATTCGCTGGGGAGCTGGCCGACTCCTCCTTGGGCGCCCTCCGGTGTGGGATGTTTAGCAGCATCCCTGGCTTCTGACCACTAGATGCCAGTAGCATCCCTTCCTCTTCGCTGTGGCAACCAAAATGCTAGGAAACTGCACTTATGCAAGGTAGGCACCAGATGGCACCACAGGACCACCGGGGGAAAACTCCCCAGCCTAGTTCCTGAAGCCGGGCTGGCTCCCGGAATGGGGCCCAGGCTCCACAGGCTCCCCTACAGAGGAAGTTCACAGTCCAAACACTCACGCAGGTCGCTCTTCCTCGCGATGACCGCGGCACAGTGCGGACACTGGTGCTTGCGGACGTTCTCGCTGTGCTTCTGCGCGATGTGTATCTTCATGGTGCCGCTCTGGGTGAAGCGCGCCTGGCAGAAGTGGCATTCGTAGGGCTTCTCGCCTGTGAGACGATGACAAAGACGACCCTCTGCAGAGCGGCTTCACCCACACGCCCTGGTCCTCCCCAAAGGGCTCCCGGAGCCGACGGCTTGTCTTTTGTTCCCGGGCTCCTTCTTCACCCCCTCTCCTACGTTTACCCCCAATTAGTATGACACTCCTGGAGCGAGCCCAGGCCACTATCTAGCCCCCATCTGGTGGAAAGAACGGGAAGGACACGCAAACACATTGTCTTACAGCAGAAAGAAAGGGGGGCGCACCCTGAGCCCAGCACACGCTTTACGCAGCTCTCAGGTGGAAGGGTGGCGAAGGAGCCGGCTCTTAACAAGGAACCGGCTTTAAGCCCTGAACAACCTATGGCAGCAAGTAATTGATGGTGTCTTCCTGGTCACAGCATGTGACAGCACAGGGCTTGCGTGGGCTCTCTGGACGCCAAACAAACACAAAGGTGCAGAGCAGAACCCCCCACGCCGAAAAGGCGCCGAGACGTTCATTCTGACACTGAACTTCAGTTCTGCGACTGCAGTAACTTTTACAAGCTCACTTCTGAAAACGAGACAGTGCTTTATGGACGTGGCCCACGGATGTGGCCTTCAGCGTGAGACACTTTTACCTGAGTGTGTCCTCATGTGTCGTTTCAGCTTGTGGGTGTCCTTGCTGGCGTAGCTGCAGAGATGGCACTGGTAGGGACGCTCCCCCGTGTGTGACCGGATGTGACGCTTCAACTTACTCGCCTAATAAGCACATGGAAAGTATTTGTTTGCAAGAGAAACCTGAGAATTTTAGGTCCAACCAATCAGCGTCATCAAGAGAGATTGACATTTTAACCTCGGAACATACCTCGCACCCCGAGAAACTCAAAAAGGCCTTACTTTTATGTTCTGTCGTGAATGATTTCCCCCCCATTCGATGTGTGTTTAAGATCCTTTGGAAATAAGCAGCAGTAGTTGCCAGAGACTCTCACATTCAGCTTCACATCCACAGGGAAAACTGCAGGCTGGCTGCTCAGTGCCACATGGGATTTTATTTCCATTTCTAAGGCCATTCACACTCTGTGTGCAAAGTTTAGACCATGCCACAGAAGTGCAGAGGCCAGAATGCTTTCTTTTGCATAAATAAAGTGAGAATCTTGAAACACCGGCTCTCTGATAGGCAGACACCGTCTGGGGCACTTCTCAGTTCCAGGTTCTGTGGGACCTAAGTGTCTATCAAAGATGGTTCTATGTGCCCGGAGTCTCTTTATAATAAGCAACTTCTGAGTAGAAGAACATACATTCTACTTTAATTACATATCCCAGGCGACAAGTTAAAAAGGTGAGCAGCACATCACCTGCCATTGGATCACGCTTTGCCTGACTGCTTTGCTACCTTCCAGAACCGTCCTTGGTCAGTACTGTCTCCCTCAGGCCTTGTCTACCTTTGGCAGAACAAAGGGCAGGGGTGACAGGTATCAGAGAGCCTGCATGGCCCTGCCCGTGATCTCTGGGCCTGATTCCCTAATAAGCGACAAGCACACATAAGCCCTGAGAACATTTAAGAACAAAAGAAGACTTAGATCCAAATTGAAAAATTTATATTTTTTCAGATGAAAAGAAGATGTCTTCAAGTATATCAGAAAGTAAAACAAAAAGAATTTTTAAAATGAGAGCATGAAAGATTTGATGAGGGCTGTGAAAGAGCAAAGGTGGCTGAGTGTCAACCTGCTCTGGGTGGCTCTGCAAGGGAGGGTGAGGGAAGGACGGGAGCTCAGCGCTTTCAGAGGCTGGTGTTCCAGAATGTGCACTCCTGCTGGCGTCTGTGTAAAGAAGTGGGTGGGGGCGCAGGGGGCTTAGGCTTCCCCGCTCAAAGCAGACCAGCCCGCAAGATGGAAACTGCACATGTGCCTGGGCCACCAGGCTGTGCAGACCGCTGACCCCAGGGGAGGGTCTCAGTGGACCTCGGATGTTTGCGCTCAGAACCATCAGGACAGCAACCGGAAGTCCACTCTAGGCTTGGGTGTCTCAGATGGCTTTGTTCCTTGAAACTTTCACTTTTGTGTTTTCAAACTAAAGTTACAACCTTTAACTCGGATGAGAAAGAACTTTTAAAAATAGTAATAGCTGAAAAAAATTCTTGGACTCCAATTCTGACCCTGTCTGTGAAATTCCCTGGTTTATGAAACGTGGTTGCATCACTCCCCTATTTCAACGTTAGTTATGCCCTTTAA